ATGTCCGCCATTGCTGCCATGGTGGGGGGTGGAGGAGGGGGTGGTGGTGGTTCCGTCTCACAGTGTTGCAGTGGATGCAGTAAAAAAAAGGAATGTTGAAAGACGAGATGAGGCCGAAGAGGCAATGTGGAGCTCCAAGGATAACTCGAAAACGCTGCCAAGTGCTTAAGAATGAGGTGTGAGAGGACGGGATGACCATTGAGTTTCGGCTCCTCCGGGATGTAGCGTGGCGCGTCTCCGCCCCTCTTGGCTGCCAACGAGACGATTCTCTGTCATGGGCGGAAAACGCGAGCCATTGGATTGGGAGAGGCGGCTGGAAGGGGAGGGGGAAGGGGCTAGTCGGTAGTAGGACGCGCGGCGCAGATGCGGTAATCCTCCCGCCGCCTTGGCAGCGGCGAGAGAGTCGTAGCGGAAAATCGCTGCGCGCGCCCCGGTCGCCATGGCAGACTCTATTCAGAGACTCAGACCCGGCGAGCTACGAGAGACTCAGAGACACTATTCAGAGACTCGGACCCGGCGAGCTACGAGAGACTTAGAGACACTGTTCAGAGACTCGGACCCGGCGAGCTACGAGAGACTTAGAGACACTGTTCAGAGACTCGGACCCGGCGAGCTACGAGAGACTTAGAGACACTATTCAGAGACTCGGACCCGGCGAGCTACGAGAGACACAGACACTATTCAGAGACTCGGACCTGGCGAGCTACGACATCAGAAAGTTTGTGACCCAGCCGCAGACAGGCCTCCAGGCGAACTGCATTTCCAGGAGCAGCAGGGGGTGCTCTGGAAATTACCATGTACGGGGCGGGGTCTCCTGTGCTGATGGGTTTGGACATTTCTAAATCGAAATGGTTGGAAATTGCAGGTTGTGGCACTGCGGCAGCTGCTCGGGGACTGGCTGGATCTCGCGATGTTGCCATGTGGCTGTACATCGCACTCCACATCGATTTGGCCTACGTGGACAGTTGCCAAGTCACGCACCCATTCTTCAACTCCGATCAATCGCGCTATTGTATTATGCTACTTTCATAATAAATGCTGTATCACTTAAGGAAGGCATAGAGCACTGAGAAATATCATACTTTGGCAATACAAATTGCTGTTATTATTTCAGTAGCAAATTCTTCTTACCGCATATGAATTCTCTTTCAATCTTCATTCAACCATATGGTTCTCATAATAATACGCTGGTTGATTTTATTGCAACACGTAGTATCAACACTTCCGTTCTTACCTGTTTTGCTCTATATGAGCTATTGCGGTACTGGTACAGACGCATTGCTTCGTTCTGAAGTGACGTGTGAGTGGAGATCCTTCGGGAATGTTACAATAACATTTCGGTTATTCCAACATTGTTAAAGAAGGATCGGTGAAATGTTCTTAATTTTGTTTAATTACAATATCACCATCTGATGCATGCTATAATTTAAAGGCAGATGTTGTCAACATTCATGCGGAGAGTCACTACACAACGGGAGTGGACTACGGAGGAAGGCACGGGGTTGTGCGGGGTTGTGCGTTGTACTAGCGTTCTCACAACTTGCTGTGTTCACAACGATATTTGGCAAGAGTTTCACTAATAAATTGAAATAACAATAGATCACAGACATGCAAGTCGATATAGCTAGAATGGCATCGCAACACCTAGTAAGACCTTTGCGGAGCGAACTCTGCCAGCGCAGTGGAAGAGCGGCTTGCCAACGTTGCAGCAGAGTAGTTTTCCCAACGTTGCATTGCAGCGGTCTGCAAGAGCCGCAGAGGCAGGTGAACATCTGCACATGTGCGCACATACCAAGTATGTGCAGATAGACGGTCGCGTCGCCAGGCACATTGCGCATGTGCCAGGTATAACACGTGTCGGCGGTTTCGCCAGCGGTGCACTAACGAGCACGTGATGCCGTTCCGCAGGTTGACTTCGCGAAAACCTCATGAGGCGAAGTTCGCGCACATCTACGACCTTCGCAGTCGAACAACGTTCGGCTGGTTCGCGCAGAGACCAGCGCAGAGCCTCTCGACACATTAGCTTGAGTATTATCTACGCAAGGTTGTGTTGCTTGCACAATACAAGGTATATGCTTGCTTGATATAACCCATCACATGCCTTTACTATTCATTTATTCAGTTAATGATATATATCTGATATGAGATGTAATGTAATGAGATATCGCAATAGAACGTCTGATATAACCTATAGCCAATCTGGGATGAATGAGATAAAATAATTATATTTCAATATATGTAAAGCAAATTGATGTGCAAGGATGAGAATGTGATACATAGTAATATTTGGTACACATTACTGTTTTTTCCCCCATATATTCTGTTTCGATGCTAAAAGATGACAAATGTGCTTGGAAACATATACGGATTATAGAAAATTATAAGTACGTACGTTAAGTTTTACAAAAATTTGTATCCAGATTTTGTAAGGATTAGGTATATAACTTGAAATATACAAAAAACAGTTATTATCCACACCATTTGTTGGTATTTTGTTGCCAATGTTCAGGTTTCGCCTATTATCATGACTATTTGTGTTATTCTTTGTTGGTTCTTGAAACTGGATCTTGGCTGGAAAAGGATATAAACAGGTAGGTCTTTGTTCGAGAAACATGTGTACAGTGGGGTCTTGAAACTGCAGTGCTGTATCAATATCCGTATTTGTCTAGATGGCAGGAGTTAGCGAGCAAGTTCGATTCGTCGACGTGGACATTTCTGTACACCTCACGACGCCCAAAAATGCCATTGTGGCCAATCGGTGCTCAGACCGGTGTCACCGCTGGACAATGCTGTGGCACCAAACTTCCACTATGCCCAATGGTTGCGTAGGCTCGTGACAGCGCTGCCAATTCCGTTTACGTGTATGGCTGCTCAACCACTGAATCAGCATATTTGATGCCACACTGGTGGTTGCTGCGCTGGTATGCCAGTGGCAGGTTTCGTCGCGTCGCCTGGCTCTCAGTGATCGAGGAGAGGTTCATGCATCTGGGTACTGGCTTGTTCATCACCTCATTCGGATCGTTTGTACAAGCATTAGGCTCTCAGCTCAGCCATTCCTCATCAACGAGCTGTAACTGTTAGAGTAGGTAGGTAGGTGAGATTGAGGTTCAAGTGAGGGCCTAGGCTTAGTAGCCTAGGCCAAGGGGAGTCGAGTGAGTTGTGGCAAGGAGTGTCGAGAATGGTGGTGTTCACTATAGCACGAGGGTACATATAGCAAACAAATGAAGAGGTGCACCACCTACAAAGTTAATAACTACACTACAGCTAGAACTACATGCAGTTTTAACAACATAATTCTGACACCCCCCCGTAACTGCATGCAGGAATAGCCAAGTGCAAGACACAACCTGCAGGGGTACATCACAGACAAAGAAAATAGCAACAGCAGGCAAGAGCAGATGCAAGTTCACAAAATAAAGACAAGTAGCAGCACTAGAGGGGCAGTGAGGAGGAGGAGTTGGGAGGCGGCAGGTGAGGCTGCTGGCTTCACGGCGGCTGCCTCCTAGAACCTCCCCCATGCTCCCAAACCCCCTCTGCACACTCCTCAACGTCCCTAGTGCCACTCCCCCGGCTCCCCACACCCTCACACCCCCCCCCCCAGTGGCAGCTGCAGCAGTGGGAGAGAAAGGAGGAGGAGGGGAAGGGGATCACACACACCCATCACCCCCATACCCGCCACCTCCATACCCTCCCCCCCACGGCTGCACGCGCAGCAGGGAGACGAAGGAGGAGGGGGGGGGGGGGGGGGGGGGGTGGCGGGGAAGAAGCCGCCTCACGGCCACAGAGGGGCGGCGCGCAGGGAAGGGCAGGGGCGGCTGCACCGAGGATAGGCGCGTGAAGGACAGGGGCGGCTGCACCGAGGGCAGGTGCGAGTAGGGCAGGGGCGGCTGCACCGAGGGCAGGCGCGGGTGAGGCAGGGGCGGGTGCTCCGAGGGCAGGCACGGGTGAGGCAGGGGCGGCTGCTCCAAGGGCAGGCGCGGGTGAGGCAGGGGCGGCTGCTTCGAGGGCAGACGCGAGTAGGGCAGGGGCGGCTGCTCCGAGGGCAGGCGCGGGTGAGGCAGGGGCGCTGTCGCGGGCGCCAGGGGCGGGTCCGCAGCAGCTCAGTGCACCATCGCGGGCGCCAGGGGCGGGTCCGCAGCGGCTCAGGGCACCGTCGCGGCCGCCAGGGGCGGATCCGCGACTGCTCAGGGCACCGTCGCGGGCGCCGGGGGCGGGTCCGCGGCGGCTCAGGGCACCGTCGCGGGCGCCAGGGGCGGGTCCGCAGCGGCTCAGGACACCGTCGCGGGCGCCAGGGGCGGGTCCGCGGCGGCTCAGGGCACCGTTGCGGGCGCCAGGGGCGGGTCCGCGGCGGCTCAGGGCACCGTCGCGGGCGCCAGGGGCGGGTCCGCGGCGGCTCAGGGCGCCGTCGTGGGCGCCAGGGGCGGGTCCGCGATGGGCAGAAAAAGCGTCACGCGCCACCCGGGCGCGGGACAGAACGAAAATCGCCACGCGCCCGATACGCGCGACCGGAAAAACAGCAGCGGAAGCGAGAGGCTGGCCCACAGGCCAGGACATAACAGGCTCTAATACCATGTTAGACTAGGTAGGTAGGTGAGGTTGAGGTTTAAGTGAGGGCCTAGGCTTAGTAGCCTAGGCCAAGGGGAGTCGAGTGAGTTGTGGCAAGGAGTGTCAAGAATGGTGGTGTTCACTATAGCACGAGGGTACATATAGCAAACAAATGAAGAGGTGCACCGCTTACAAAGTTAATAACTACACTACAGCTAGAACTACATGCAGTTATAACAACATAATTCTGACAGTAACAACTATAACAACTATTCTATTATCAAGAATGACACTACCAAGGTGGCGACCTCGAGAATGCATCACCATTTGCTCGAGATACTGGAACCTGACAAGTCCAGGACACTACTTAATGGCTCAGTCATCAGGCATCACACACAGTCTTCGAGAGTGCTCGGCACGTTCTCCTGCTGCCTTCTTTCTTTCATCATCGCACAATGGCTCACCCAGCTGATGTCCTGACTCTGCCTAAGGGTCCGCACTCTCGTCCTGCGCTCGACCCGTCTGCTTCCACGGGTGCTGATAACTCCAACGGGCTTCAGGCTCCTGTAATCAATGACAAGGACAAGTCAGCCTCTTCAGCCGCTAACGGATCTGGGCTAACTGCTGCTGACAAGGTCAACATTCGCTCGGTTGGACTCACTGTTGATGATGACTTTATCAATGACGACTCTGATAATGAGATGGCTATTGATCTGGTTGAGGAAGCAGGCTCCGGTTTGTTGATTCCTTTCATGTTGCACAAGGAATTTCCATGCGTGATTGAGGCTGTAACGGCACTGATAAAACACGGGTGGTACGCAAAGTTATTAGATGATGCTGCAACAACGACTAAGTTTCAGGAACTTCACACGGCCTACATCGCCAAGACGCGCTTCTGTCGCCTGCAAGTTTCTTTCGTCAAGGAATTTGACGCGGGATGGGTGCGGAAGAAAGAAGTCATTTATCAGCCGCTTAAGAATCAGGCTCAACTCATCATGCTTCACTGGCAACACACCGAGGACTTGTCCTACATTCGCGAGAAGGCATTGAACCCGCAGGCTATCGAATTCATGATCACGGGTGTTTCCGCTGCTGTCGAGCTGTTCCTGATTCATGACCGCATGGCTACTTACCCGCTTACCAGTACCAAGCGTTCGGCGTTTCTGCGGTGTACCTGCCTGCACTGTGTGCTTCACCATGTGACTGGAGCAGACACAGACGTGGTGAAAGGTCTGGTTTATGCTCACCCTAAGAGTAAGAACCGTCGTTGGACCCACACGATTGCTTATCCTGCCGATCGGGCGAAGGAGCTCCTCGTCCATTATCCGTCCTTATCCAGTTCGCTCTGTGGCGGCAAGCATTATGATAAGTATCATGATGCTTTTGTCACTGAGCGTCAGAATAATGTCAGTAAATGGAGCCTCACTCTTGGCAAAGTGCACATGCTTAACGGTAAAAGCAGCAGTCAGGAAAACCTATATGTCATAACTAGACGACATCGTAGGTGTGTACTGCTGAGGCAGGCATGACGCGATACCCAGAAAGCCTAGGGCGTGTGGGCGGGGAAAGTGCTTTGCCATTGTATACCACCACCAGACCGTCCTCATCGTCCCCCCGCTCTCATGCCGTTTGCATTCGGCTCGTCGCACACCGACGCTCGTCGCTCAACCAACCCCCGCGCTCACCTGCGATCTTAGGGAACCCGCGCTCACGGCTCGTCCGCACTCGAAATCTCATACGCGCTCCTCGCTCATCCGCGCGCGAAATGTCATACGCGCCCGTCGCTCATCCGCGCCCGAAATCTCATCCGCGCACCTCGCGCATCCGCGCTCGTCTCTCATCCGGTCTGGCCCACAATCCGCGCTCGTCTCTCATCCGGACTGTCCCACAATCCGCGCTCGTCTCTCATCCGCTGTCGTATTAGGTGCGGGCTCGTCTCTCACTGCATGTGTGCGCCCTGTGAATTCACGAGCCCGCACCTAGACTGCATGTGCGCTATGCCGCTTGCATGTGCGCTATGCGACTTCATGCGCGCCATGCGACTGCATGGCCGCAATGCGACTGCATGCGCGCCATGCGACTGCATGCGCGCCATGCGACTGCATGTGCGCCATGCGACTGCATGCGCGCCATGCGACTGCATGGCCGCAATGCGACTGCATGTGCGCCATGCGACTGCATCTGCGCCATGCGACTGCATGTGCGCCATGCGACTGCGGAAGACTGCAGTCCGCGCGCTCTACAACTGCATGCGCCTCCACCCCTCTTGCCCTTCGCGCGTCCGCGTTGCTCTCTCCCTCCGTCTCTTCCTCCGCTCTCCCCTCTGCCCCTCCCTCTCCTCCCTGTGGATGAACGACAGGCTCCAACGTCACAGCGCCCACGCGCCGCTCCACCCGCCGGGTCAGCGCCCCCCCCGCTCACCAGGCAGCGCCGCGCGCTCTGCTGGCCGCGTGGACAGCACCGGCGAGCATGCTGCACGCGGAGCAGGTGAGCGTGCAGTTCCCCCCTTGCCCATGCCTATCCCCCTTGCCCATGCCTATCCCCCTTGCCCATGCCTATCCCCCTTGCCCATGCCTATCCCCCTTGCCCATCCCTTTCCCCCTTGCCCATGCCTTTCCCCCTTGCCCATGCCTTTCCGCCTTGCCCATGCCTTTCCCCCTTGCCCATGCCTTTCCGCCTTGCCCATGCATTTCCCCCTTGCCCATGCCTATCCGCCTTGCCCATGCCTATCCCCCTTGCCCATGCCTATCCCCCTTGCCCATGCCTTTCCCCCTAGCCCATGCCTTTCCCCCTTGCCCATGCCTTTCCCCATTGCCGGTCCCTTTCCCCCTTTGCCCGTGCCTATCCGCCTTGCCCATTCCTTTCCGCCTTGCCCATGCCGTTCCCCCTTGTCCATGCCTTTCCCCCTTGCCCGTCCCTTTCCCCCTTGCCCATGTCTTTCCCCCTTGCCCATGCCTTTCCCCCTTGCCCATGCCTTTCCGCCTTGCCCGTCCCTTTCCCCCTTTGCCCGTTCACGTGAATTGTCACACACTGCAGGCACACCGTTGCGTGTCATCCCCCCCATGCCTGCAAGAATGCTCGCCTGCTCATACAACGAGGTGCTTGTGAGTGTCTCTTACTTCCGCCATCTGCCCTGCCCTATCCGCCTTGCCCGATCCGCCTTACCCCATCCGCCTTCCCCCATCCGCCTTCCCCCATCCGCCTTCCCCATCCCGTCCTGCCCCATTCCGTCTTCCCCCATCAGCCTTCCCCCACCAGCCTTCCCCAACCCGCTTTCCCCCACCTACCTGAGACCCATCCGCCTTGGCACAACTGCGTTCCCCCATCCGCTTTCCCCCATCCGCTTTCCCCCATCCGCATTAGCGCACATCCGCTTTCCCCCATCCGCTTTCCTCCCATCTAAGACTCTAATTCCCCGCCAAGTTCTGTTTTGCCCTGGAGGGAAGTCGGATTTTGCCCCAAGGGGGAGTTCTGTGAAGCCCCCAGGGGTACTTCTGTTTTGTCAGAAGTAGAAATTTCTCACCTGCCCCCACGGGGGGACTCTGTTTCCCGCACCTGAAGACTTTCCCTCTCTCCTCTCCTCGTCACCACTTCGTCCCTCCTGTTTTCCCATCCCAACCGACCAGATTTTGATTTTCAACCCCAGGGCATTCTCTTTCCAACCCTAGAAAATTCTCTTTCCCTCCATGTGAGATTCTAAATCTCGGGCAAGTTCAGTTTTGCCCCAAAGGGTAATTCTGTCCTGTCCACAGTAGAAATTCTATGTTGCCCCCAAGGGGTAATTCTGTTTCCCCCACCCTATTCCATTCCAACCCATCCTCTCCTTCCTCAGCAACCCATGGTTTGGTGCATCTGCTCATTGCTCCTCGAGCCAGCCCCTCCAGCCATTTAGTGGCCTCCATTTGCCCAGGGCAACTCCCCACACGCTAGACACTGTAGCACCCCACCCCACCCCACCACACACCACCCCACCTCTCCTCTTGACCCCTCCCATCCCAACTCCCGGTTTCCCGTCCATTCCCAGGGCGAAGCCCTCACTACAGTACAGCACTGTCGCCTGGGATTATAGGCAGCACTCACCTGCACAGGTGCCATGCCATCGCCCTCGACCCCTGCGCATAACAACACCGGTAACAACTCCCCTTCAAGTTGGCCGCCGCGCCAATGCCTGCATGTGTAAAACGCCCACGGTGGGAGGGGGCAATCATATCACACCAACTTGCTGCCTTACGAGCACTGTTGTCGCTGCTTGTTTCATCGCACTCCCCACCCCTCTACCCTCTTGCGCTCATCACTCTGTTCCATCCACAACTCCCAAGTCCGTTCCCGCTCATGAGCTCTCCGCAATCATTTCTTCCATCTTGTCAAATCAAACTTGCTCTGCTTCCATCGGACTCAATAGTTTCACATAAACTTACCCATTGACATGCTCAGTGCCACCACCCCATTCTTCCACTTTATTCTCCTAACCATTATCCCCTCACCTATCTCATTCCGTGACCACACCGTACCTACTCCAAACTCACCCCGCATCTCACATCTCATTCCCCACAAATTCGGGTTCCCAACACACCCACTCTGATATCGCATGCTCTTGCCCACTCTTATTGCTCCACTACGATCCCCCCCTCCCACAATACCTGATTTCTCCAGTCCTATGCTGCCTTTTCACCCACTCCTGTGTACAGGCCCTGTTGACGGCATTGTTTCGGTGCATGCGTTCGCCTCATAGATGCTAATGGATCAACCTACCAAACTATTCCAACAATGCAACTTCCTTTGTGAATTATACGGAAGGGAGATTATATGAGAATGGTATGGATTGTGTAAGCAAACCCTAACACCGACATTGTCAAAACAAACAATCAGAGTTCAGAGTTAATATCACACATGCCGTGCCATTATTAGATGACAATGATGTTGTGAAGTTAGCAACCGCAAGAGCAGGAGGCTACGCAACCACTTGAGGTTTCTGGGAGGTCCTTCAGTTCATGTTATGCCTCAACTAATTTGGGTTGTGGACCTGTTTATAGTACGCTACCGTACGTCTTTAGGAGAAGCAACGTTTAGAGAGTGCTGACCAAAGCATCTGCTGCAAGCCGTTTGACGAAGTATGAAATATAAAGTATGAGGTGAAGATGGGGTTGGGGACAAACTTGGTTGTACGGGGGCATCAGCCAAGAAACCCGGACCTGTGACATCTTTTTGTCAGAGACCAGAAGGCACGGGTGGGAGAGGGGATGGGGGAGGTGGGGGGGTAGGGATGTCATTGAAGGTGTAGGTGGCACGATCTTGCAGTCGTATAGTACAAAAAGGAAGGCAACATCACTAAAAAAAAATGACATCCTATAGGAGTGTGGCGGACCGGTCATGTAAAACAGCAAGTATATGATTGGGCCGTAAAGTACCCTAGGGTATGGGGCTGATTGGGCGCATACCGTATTGGAGACGCCAGGTTGTGCGTGTTACAATCCACCTTTACGTGTGAGACCTCTGCTTGCAAAGAGCGTTAGCGTAGGTTGGTTGGCCTTTCTCCTGTGGGTTGGTAACAGAAAGCAGAAATGCACAGATTTGGCAAACAAGCCAAAAAAGGACATAAGCGCAGGGTGGATGCGGCTGCTGAAGCACGAGCAGGAATTTAGGGACAAGCAAGTATGTCTATAACCACGAACCCAGCAAACGGCGACGAGCTTGTGAAGTTCGTTGGCCGTATGACACCGGGGCAGGCCGGGATGTGCTGCCGTGACACCCAGGCGAGAAAGTGAGCTCATTGGTAGCCAAAGGGGTGCTGCACACCGGTTGCACAGAAACAGTACTCGGCTGTCCACTCATGGTTCGTTGTCGCACCGCACGGGTGTTCTCACTAACCCCCTGATCTGTGACAACCTCATCCAGCATTCCCTCTATTGCCGTTTCAGTTTCCTCCACATCCTCCACCCCTTCCTTCAACCACTCCTGCATTATCTTGTCAATCCAGGACCAGTCCATAGGACCTAGGATCCTCTCTCCAGAACCCCGCTGCACTCGTGTCGCCTTTCTTGCACGGAGGCGGTACGCCTTGACGAGTGGGTCCATGCAACTGCTCCAATGCAGCACTGCCAAGGCTATGCGTGCCTTCATGCTGCCCTTGAATCGCACCTCTTGGGTGCATACTTGCAAATCAGAGAGTGAAATGACTCATTCAGTGAACTATTCGCGCCACGGATGAATGGTTCCACTTGTGTTGGCCCTAGTCGCGTCTTGAACCACTCGCGAACAGCCAGGTGGGTTGGTGAACCAACCGCATACACGGCACTCTCCTCCCCCCATCCCTCTGAAACACAGCGTGGAGGTGTGATCCCCGCTCATTGGCAGCGTGAATGATCACCTGCAAAGTGATCTGCCGCCAGTCCTAACTCCTCTGACACCTCCTCCTTTGTCATCGCATCCCCTTCGCGCGCCTTCACTGCACAGCGCATCATAACATGCCTGAAATGCACGCTGACGCGTTGTGCAACCGAATATTCCAACCTTCTGCTTCCGCCACTCTCTCTAGCGACGTTGACTTCGTTTCCAGTGCCGCGTGCCCGTTTCTTATTGCTACGTGGGTGCCACCGTCGCGTCTCATTGCAGCCATCGACGGAAACTTTGGGTTGGCTTCCTGCAAGTTGTCACAAATGTAGAAGAATGTGACGATATGTTATAGTGACTTGAGCTGGTGGTGTGGTGATATGGTAATGGAGTACCATACACATTGAGGGGTATGGTGATATGGTAATGGAGTGAGCAAAAACAGTAGGTGGTGTTGCAAATCGGTAATGGCATCATCATAAACGGTGGGTGGTGTGGTGAGGTGGTTGAATAGTGGGCATAAACAGAGGGGGGTGTAGTGATGTGGTAATGGAGTGAGCAAACACAATGGAGGGTGTGGTGAGGGGGTGATAGAGTGAGCAAAAACAATAGGGGGGTGTGCTGCTGTGATATTGGAGTGAGCAAACACAGTGGGTGGTGTGATGAATTGGTATTGGAATGATAGAAACCATTGAAGGGTGTGTGGTGATATGGTAATGAAATGAGCATAAACAGTGGGTGGTGTGGGGATGTGGTAATATAGTGAGCAAGAACGGTAGAGGGGTGTGGTGATTTGATAATGGAGTGAGCAAAAACAGTGGGTGGTGTGATGAATTGGAATGGAATGATAAATAACACTGAGAGATGTGGTGATATGGTAATGGAATGAGTATAAACAGTGGGGATACGGTGATGTGGTAATGGAGTGAGCAAAAACAGCAAGGGGGTGTGGTGATGTGGTAATGAAGTGGGTGGTGCATTGGGGATAGTATGAATGAGAAGAGTGGCTATGATGATTAGATAATGTACCTGTCTGAGGGGTCGTTGGTGGTGCTTGATCGATTGGTTCTCCCAAGAAATCCGTATCAGCGCGAGCGCCATTGCAAGCGACTGCGACCACCAGAGACGCTTGTGATGAGGGACGCAACCCATGCTCAGGGTGGATGTCGTACCCCCACAGCTCCTCCACATCCCGCCAACAAACTTCTACTGACACTGGACCCTCCAGCATCTCAACCGCATCACCACCATCTCCCGTTCCCTCATGCGCAGGCACGCCATGTTCATGTATCAATGAGAGCATAACCGGTATGTCAACCGTTTCATTATCCTCTCCATCCTCTTCGCTCCTATGTGGCTCTGGCCCACGACTAGCCTCGTGCAACCCTTTGGCGCACGTCACCTGCTGCAATTCCAGATGCATCCATTTTGCATCGGCCGGTTTCACATAACGATAAACAATACCGAGCTCACTGCAAACTGTCTCGATGAACTCATCCTTTCCCGTTTTGCCCTCCGCTTTGCTTGGAGCCTTCTTTAGTAACCAAGCCTTCAACTTCTTCAAGGTGTGCATGTGAAGGTCCTCAACAGTCTCAGCGTTATCAATATCCACCACTTTTCTAACAAGGTTCTGCAGCTCGTTTTCAAATCTTTTCACCACCGATCGTCTTTTATGCCACCAGTCAATCTGATGACGGATTCCTCTTTCTACAGCAGCACCTCGAAAGGTGCTACCCTCATCGGTAACAATCCCCTCCATCTCAAACCCCTGCTCCTTGAGGAAGTCCATCCCCCTTTTGAATCCTACACTTTCGAGCCTCGGTGCGGAGTCATCATCGACGTCAAGTTTTGTGGTCTCTACATGCAAGATCTTCCTACTTTCAGGATGGAGGAAGGACACAGTACACCACTCTGCCTCTCGCGCTTGTGACCATCTGCCATCAACACTGATGTAACCCACGCCACCCACTCTCTTGGATAAAGTGGTACGCACGTCCCCCATCGAGTTCTGTGCAGCACGAATAATGGCATTCCATAAACCATCTTCACCCTGCAGCAAACGATAGAATGTTCCCTTGCCCGGATTCGGAAGTCCAAGATTGCGACAAACTTCCCACATCACTTGAAATCCTACCCCCGCAAGGGCGAAGGCACCGACGAACCTGGGCATGAGCTTTGACGTCCTTGGCCCGGTCTTTCTCATATTTGATGTGTGCTCCTTTTTCGGACTTGACCATACTTCCCTGCCGCTTGTGCACGTGTTACAGTACCAATAAAGTCTGAAACAGGCCCATGCTGTTTTCCACGACACGAGTGCCATACTCCCAGAACAGCCCGCTCGTGTGCAACAAATCTGTAGTGATCCCACCGTTTCGAGCAAGTGCTTCGGTTGTAGAAGGCATACCGTGTACTCAGGCACATCCGTGATGCTTGGAGCGGCTGACCACCCACGTGGAACTGGTTTTGGCCTCTTGCTGGTTGTTTTGTCTCGAGTTGTCGTCCTGTTGTTGGTTGGGCCAGCAAAGGTCAGTGACGAAAATGGATGGGTAGGGATGGAGAGGGTTACTAAACAAAAAGGAGAAGGCGGCAACACCCGAAGGGGAGAAGGATGGCACTTGTTTCTGTAATGCTAGCTGCTCTGTTCCCCACCATATCAGCAAACTATCTCCCCAATGCTTGCCCAAGGTAAACAAGCAAAATTCCGTGGGATGCTCGCAAAGATTTCAGAATCTTGAGTATAATAACACACTCCAACCTTTCATTGTGATCCAACGCTGCATCTTCTTGATGTGTTGGTCCCACATGACGGTCACCTCCCTCTGCAATTGTGCACGCCGATCCCACCGTCGGGATGGGGACGCTGTCGAGTTCCACAGCCCCACCATCTGCATCCCCTGCGTGCATATCACACAAGGCGAGTACTCACTGTTTTTTTTCACGAGATTGGTATGGGGTTTCCGCTTCCTCGAGTTTTGTGCATGTTTTCTTGGCTGGATGTATGGTTAAAGCGGCTTACTAACCTTTCATCCCCATTCCATATCTCACCTTGTGTGCGCATTTCCTCGAACGCCTTGCCTTTCCGGGGCCCACCCCACCCATTTCCAGCAACGGGGCGTAATCGTCCGCGATGATCCTCCTTGTAGGCAGGGAAGTCGTATACAAGCCCCTTGAGTTCACGATCAGCCTTCCCCATTATCGTGGTCACCGCGTTCACACCATCGTTCGCCCGCGAATCAAACTGACGCCCGTATGACTCCAGATGTAGCTCTGCCGTCGCTACCGCATTCGCCCCATTCGCACCTGGATGGGGATTCACGTGGATAAAATGCAGCTTGGTTGCACGATCGTTGTATGAGGATGTACAAACCCCTGGTTATTAGCGCACATGCAACAGCAATCACCACGCGTTCCCACTATCCATAAACATTCACCAGCTTCTTTTGCTGCCCGCATAAGCCGTTTGCATGCAGCCGGAGCATTCATCATAAAGTAGTAGAGAACATCTGCAGTCGTCGCAACGTTCTCGCCTCCCATCAGTGCCGACAACCCGCACCGCTGGAGGCATATGACAGGGCGCATATGCTTTGATATTCCGTGCATAGGCTTGTCATGCTCCTTGCTGAGCTCTTTCGCCGGATGGTCCCCGTCCGGGGCCACATCATTTGTGAGCCTGCGATAGAGGGAGGGCAGGGGGGGGGGGGGGGGTTGGGGTGTGCAAAAAAGTCTGTGAATGTGTGCTGGAATGAATGCCTACGGCAGGGAAGCCCAAGGCGGGTAAGCTCAGGCAGGGAAGCACAGGGCAGGGAAGCCCAGGGCAGGGAAGCCCAGGGCAGGGAAGCCCAGGGCGGGTAAGCCCAAGGCGGGTCAGCTCAGGGCAGGGAAGCCCAAGCCAGGGAAGCCCAGGGCGGGTAAGCTCAGGCAGGTAAGCCTAGGCCAGGGAAGCCCAGGGCAGGGAAGCCCAGGGCATGGAAGCTCAGGCCTCAAAATGCCCAGGGCAGGGAAGCCCAAGGGAGGGAAGCCCAGGGCAGGGAAGCCCAGGGCATGGAAGCCCAAGGCGGGAAGCTCAGGTAGGGAAGCCCAAGGCGGGGAAGCCCAGGGCGGGTAAGCTCAGGCAGGTAAGCCTAGGCCAGGGAAGCCCAGGGCAGGGAAGCCCAGGGCATGGAAGCTCAGGCCTCAAAATGCCCAGGGCAGGGAAGCCCAAGGGAGGGAAGCCCAGGGCAGAAAAGCCCAGGGCGGGGAACCTCAGGTAGGGACACACAAGGCAGGAAAGCCCAGGGCAAGGAAGCCCAGGGCAGGTAAGCCCAAGGCAGGGAAGCCCAAGGCGGGTGAGCTCAGGGCAGGGAAGCCCAAGCCAGGGAAGCCCAGGGCGGGTAAGCTCAGGCAGGTAAGCCTAGGCCAGGGAAGCCCAGGGCAGGGAAGCCCAGGGCATGGAAGCTCAGGCCTCAAAATGCCCAGGGCAGGGAAGCCCAAGGGAGGGAAGCCCAGGGCAGGGAAGCCCAGGGCATGGAAGCCCAAGGCGGGGAAGCTCAGGTAGGGAAGCACAGGGCAGGAAAACCCAGGGCAGGTAAGCCCAAGGCGGGTCAGCTCAGGGCAGGGAAGCCCAAGCCAGGGAAGCCCAGGGCATGGAAGCCCAAGGCGGGGAAGCCCAGGGCGGGTAAGCTCAGGCAGGTAAGCCTAGGCCAGGGAAGCCCAGGGCAGGGAAGCCCAGGGCATGGAAGCTCAGGCCTCAAAATGCCCAGGGCAGGGAAGCCCAAGGGAGGGAAGCCCAGGGCAGAAAAGCCCAGGGCGGGGAACCTCAGGTAGGGACACACAAGGCAGGAAAGCCCAGGGCAAGGAAGCCCAGGGCAGGTAAGCCCAAGGCAGGGAAGCCCAAGGCGGGTGAGCTCAGGGCAGGGAAGCCCAAGCCAGGGAAGCCCAGGGCGGGTAAGCTCAGGCAGGTAAGCCTAGGCCAGGGAAGCCCAGGGCAGGGAAGCCCAGGGCATGGAAGCTCAGGCCTCAAAATGCCCAGGGCAGGGAAGCCCAAGGGAGGGAAGCCCAGGGCAGGGAAGCCCAGGGCATGGAAGCCCAAGGCGGGGAAGCTCAGGTAGGGAAGCACAGGGCAGGAAAACCCAGGGCAGGTAAGCCCAAGGCGGGTCAGCTCAGGGCAGGGAAGCCCAAGCCAGGGAAGCCCAGGGCATGGAAGCCCAAGGCGGGGAAGCCCAGGGCGGGTAAGCTCAGGCAGGTAAGCCTAGGCCAGGGAAGCCCAGGGCAGGGAAGCCCAGGGCATGGAAGCTCAGGCCTCAAAATGCCCAGGGCAGGGAAGCCCAAGGGAGGGAAGCCCAGGGCAGAAAAGCCCAGGGCGGGGAAGCTCAGGTAGGGAAGCACAAGGCAGGAAAGCCCAGGGCAGGGAAGCCCAGGGCTGGTAAGCCCAAGGCAGGAAAGCCCAAGGCGGGTCAGCTCAGGGCAGGGAAGCCCAAGCCAGGGAAGCCCAGGGCGGGTAAGCTCAGGCAGGTAAGCCTAGGCCAGGGAAGCCCAGGGCAGGGAAGCCCAGGGCATGGAAGCTCAGGCCTCAAAATGCCCAGGGCAGGGAAGCCCAAAGGAAAGAAGCCCAGGGCAGGGAAGCCCAGGGCATGGAAGCCCAAGGCGGGGAAGCTCAGGTAGGGAAGCCCAGGGCAGGAAAGCCTAGGGCAGGTAAGCCCAAGGCGGGTCAGCTCAGGGCAGGGAAGCCCAAGCCAGGGAAGCCCAGGGCGGGGAAGCTCAGGTAGGGAAGCACAAGGCAGGAAAGCCCAGGGCAGGGAAGCCCAGGGCAGGTAAGCCCAAGGCAGGTAAGCCCAAGGCGGGTCAGCTCAGGGCAGGGAAGCCCAAGCCAGGGAAGCCCAGGGCGGGTAAGCTCAGGCAGGTAAGCCTAGGCCAGGGAAGCCCAGGGCATGGAAGCTCAGGCCTCAAAATGCCCAGGGCAGGGAAGCCCAAAGGAAAGAAGCCCAGGGCAGGGAAGCCCAGGGCATGGAAGCCCAAGGCGGGGAAGCTCAGGTAGGGAAGCACAGGGCAGGAAAGCCCAGGGCAGGTAAGCCCAGGGCAGGTAAGCCCAGGGCAGGGAAGCCCAAGGCAGGGGAACCTCAGGGCAGGGGAAGCTCAGGGCAGGGGAAGCTCAGGGCAGGGGAAGCTCAGGGCAGGGGAAGCTCAGGGCAGAGAAGCCCAAGAGGATTGTGCCTTTTGTGAGAGGCGAAAGCGTCACTCTATCCAGATATTAGAGCATGGCGGTGGGAGCGCCGTGGCGCAGTGTGCCTGTACCTCTCAAGAGTGACAAATGTGCCAATGCACTGGCATGGTGTTATGCCATGTGGGGGGGTATGGGACCATTTCCAAATCCGACCGAAGGTGCTTACTTCACTGGCATGGTGCGTGATTGGTGATGCATGCTCCAATACGGACCTGCCTGAGATGTTTTTTTGACGCCGACGAGCCATCGGTGCTGCGGATTTGGGTGGCAACTGTATTTAAACTATGCTGCTCCGTGTACAGGTGGTTCACGCCTTGCTCCTTCCTACAACGACTGCTAAACCAACCTCTTACGCTCCGTTTTCGCGCGTCCTTAGTGATGCGTAATGGCGCTGCATGGAGACCCTAATCAAGAGCAATACGACCGTGCGGGAGTTTCAGCTGAGAGGCGCACGGGTGCGCTCTGCCATATACTACGTGGGGCGCGCTTTGTTCGATGGGACCTGCGTTTATGGCGCAAGTTGCGCATTAGCTACCCTTTTCAACCCTGGCAAATGCTTATGTACTCTGTCCTCTAAGACCTAGATGTTCTGGGTGCTTGTCTGTTATCGGCGAGTTGAATGCGGCATGATAATAGCGTTTTCTCCGCTTTTTTATTCAGCAGGTGGGTGTGGGAGTGGTGTGTCGAATTGGTTTGTGTACAAGGCGCACCTAGGGTTGTGTCCGAAGTGTGGTGGTTGGTACGCCAAACTTGTGTTATGTTTTTTACCACAAACTGGTTCTTCACTGTGATTGGGTATCATTCAGCTGCGGACAACAAGCTTTCGCCACCCCCAAAATCGCCAATTTCGCTCATGCGGTACCCCACTTCCAACACCCTTCCCCTTGGAAGTCTCTCGCCAGGCTCATCCCCCCCCATCAAGATTACTATTGTTGTGCAATTTGGGCCTTGAGCTTTAAGATGGCCTAGAGAGTGAGAACCAATTGAAAACGTCTAGCAGCTGCATGACTAGAATGGTGGAGGAAGTACAAGCATTAAGGGATAGAAAGTTGGAGTTTGGGACTCTAAGAGAACCATGAGAGGGAAGGGGTTCTCCAAGAGCTAGGGAAGGATGGTAGGAACCTTCCCAGCAGCAAGGATGCAACCCTCATCATGAGGTCCTTGAGGTGTCACATGCAAAATCCAATCTAGATGGATTTTCCCTAGGTGTTGCAACATTTGCAACCCATACTAGAAACTTCTAGCCACCCCAATCCAAAAGTCAAAGTTGCCTTCCTAACCACCCAACCAAAGATCCCTTTATAGTCATGACCCAATAATCACCCAATGTGGTTAATATCTCAAAATGAGATAGAATTCCCAAAACTTGGAAACCTTGTAACTTGGGCGATCTTGGTCGGAATAAGGCGATCTTGGTATCGTTGGAAACCTCTGGATTTCTCCTGCATGATCAAGCATGTAGACTTGGAGAAAAACACAGAGATGATAAAATCCAACAGCCATGCAGAATGACGTATGCTCAAGCAAATAATGCACACATAGCATGAGCACTCGGCAGGACGTTAGGATGTCATGCACTCAGAATGACGTGCTTCCAACATATGGGCTACCCCACTACAGCGTAAACAGCAAGCAGCATATAAGTTTGACATTGTAGAAATTCATGTAGTACAGGTAGATTTTTCAGCACTTTAAATTTGTTGTTGGGCACTATGTTCGACAGTTCCGAAAAAGAATGGTTTCTGTGTCAAAACATATGTGTCACATATAATCTAGGCTATATAGGAACTAGCCTTAGGGGGTACAACATTCATCTCGTCATTCTCTATTGTACCCCCCTTCCCCAACCTAATCCACACTTTTCTCTCCTCACGTGATTCTAACATGGTATTAAGAGCTAGTAGGTCCTTAGGACCAAAATTTTAAGAGGGCCCACCATTAGTTCCTGCCTGAATCGTGCCCCATAGGCGAGTCGCTTTTTTATCTGCCCATAATGAGCCTTTCCCCGCTGCCCCGCCGCCCCGCTGCCCTGCCTGAGCGCCGCCCTGCCCGCGCACGCTCTGCCTGCAGCTGCACCGCCCTGCCTGTCTGCGCGCTTGCCATGCGCACCCTGCCTGCCTGCCCGCGCGCTGCCCGCACACGCTTTGCTGGCCCCGCCCGTGCGCTTTGCCCACCCACGTGCTGCCCTGCCCCGCAAACGCGCTACTCGCCAACAGCCTGCGCCCTTCCCGCGCGCATGCCCTGCTGCCCAGCGCGCGTGCCCCGCTGCCCTGCCTGAGCGCCGCCCTTCCCGCGCACGCTCTGCTTGCAGCTGCGCCCGGCCTCTGCCCTGCCCGTGCGTGCTCTGCTTGCAGCTGCGCCCGGCCCGCGCGCACCCCATGCGGACCCGGCCTGCTCCCTGCCCGTCCGCGCTACATTCACTGCTGCTGCTGCTAAGCGCTAGTGCTGCTGCTAAGCGCTGCTGCTACTGC